CGCCGCCCCGCCCCTCACGCTCCAGGACCCGCCCCCATCCCCTAGCTTCCGGGTCTCGGCACCTGGAGCCCCGCCTCCGACGTGTAGGCCCCACCCTCCTCCCGCGCTCCCGCCTGGCCTCCGCTGAGCCCCGCCCCCAGCCACTAAGCCCCGCCCCCAGCCCCAGTCGGGCTCGCGGGAGGGCCGGTTCCCAGAAGGCCCGCCCACGGCGCTCGCTGCTCGGCGCTCCTGCGTGCCGAAGGTCTCCTGCCCGCGACTTCTGGGCTTCTGGGCGCGGGTGGCGACGCCCAGGTGGAGGGTCGCCCCTAGCGCCCCTGCGGAGCGCGGGGACTCGCCATGGCCAGCCTGCCGGCTGTGAGGCAGGGCGTTGCCCCGCAGGACACCATGGAAAAGTACCAGGTGCCCGGGGCTGGCGCGGGCGGTAACGGCTCCTGCGCCCCGGCTTCCCTGAAGGGGTCGCGGGCGAGGACAGCCTTCCTCCCGCCCGGACCCTGCCTGGTGCCCGGCGGCCCGAGACCGGCTGTCACGGGGGACACTCTTCATAAGAACTTCACTAATCTGGGAACAATTTGGGGGTTCCAGTTCCTTCCCTTTGGGAGGGTTGTGTTGTTGTTGTTTTTTTGTTTTTTTGTTTTTGTTTTGTTTTTTTTTTTTTTAATAAGGAAGAACTTCCAAAATAGCAGTAAAGCAGATGTGTTTCTGGTGGCCTGAGCAGTTTAAAGTTATTTTTCAGAGAACGCATTAAGGAGAGCTGTGAGTGCACTTTACTGAGCCTAAGGGGGCTCCTGCGTGGCCCAGGCCGAGGGCTTGTGCTGCTCCTGACTTCATTCGCTGATAGGGTCAGGCTGCCCAGAGCTGCCTAGCAGGATCCTGGCTCTGCAAGGGCTCCCTGACAGGGTTCCCCCACCTCTCCTCTGGGCAGTGACTTCTCACCTTTCCCTAATTCTGTACTTCTCAGTAGCATCTGCCCCCTCCAGCCCACAGTCCCAGGACTCTACAGAGCTGTGCTGTGGTAGCTGTTGCTCTCTGGGCTGACTCCGTGCAGAACTTGGAGTTTCGATCCTATCTAGGCAGTTCTGCTCACTAGTGCCACGGCCACAGGCCCCCTGTGCCTCAGTTTCCTCCAGCATACACGTGGAGGTAACAGTCCTGCTGACTGCGAAGGTGCTCTGACCAGGAAGCACCTTCTGTCTGGATTCTCAGTTTGGGAGTGGATGAGTGGGCGGGGGCAAAGTGTGGGGAATGGAGAGGGTGGGTGTGCTCTCGCCTGCCTGTGTCCTTACAGGCCGGGAAGGAGCATGAGGTGTAACAGGGGCCTCAGAATTGGCCTCAGATCCACATGGCGCGCCAGCCCTGCCCCGCCCGGGGTGCGTGAGCGGGCCACCTGGGCTGGCCTGGGTGCACATGCCTGTAATCCCAGCGCTGGAGAGGCTGTAAACAGGAGGATCACTGCGAGTCCCAGCTGTGTAGTGAGACTCTGTAACAGACATATCAAGAAGAAAAGAGAAAAGACAGACTTGGCCTCAGAGAGACGGCACCCAGTGCGGGGCTGCGTGCTGCGTGCAGACCCAGCCCGTAGTGGGGTGGCACCAGGAGTCCGGTGCGTGCTGGTCCACGTGCAGGTGTGCTAACAGCCCTTCCTTGTAGACCTTGCAGGAGCTGAGTCCTGGTGCTCTTGGGGTGAACGTGGTGGTGGAGGAAATGAAAACCAAAGTCAAGCACGTGATCAAACAGGTCAGCGCTGAGCCCCAGACCCAAGCGGCGGGGAGGCCCTGGGGGAGTGCTCTTGCAAACCCTACTTGCCTGGATTAGAGAAAGGCTTTCCAGTGGGTGAGGCTGACCTGGCTGGGCAGATGCTTCCAGCCCATGTGCCTCGCCCCCCATGCATGCTGCAGAAGGAATGCTACTTTGCCACGCCAGCTGCAGCTCCTGTCATGTGCTCTGTCACTGTCCCATCATCACTGGCAAGCACAAAACAGGCTCCATTTTGCAGCCGCAGACTGTGAAGCTTGGGGTGCCCTATTGTGAGGGCTCCTTGGTTTCTGAGAGGATTTGAATTCTGGGGGACATGGTGCTTCTGTACCTGAACAATCGTCTGTTTTCTCAAAAGGGAGCCAGAGAGGGTGGGGACAAGGCATGGTCCCACAGGGATAAGGGCAGGACCGGACCAGCACAGGGTGGTGGGGTGCTGGTGGCGCGCAGCCTGTAGGGCACCCCTTGTGTCCCCAGGGCAGTGTCTGAAGGAGAGGAGCTGCTGGGGTAGTGTTGGGGACAGAGTGGCATCCAGGGCTGGCCTTGTAGGCAGGTGGGCGACGCTGGCAGCCGCTGCACTGCCAGGCCTCACAAGCCTCATGTCTGTGATGCTCAGCAGCCGGCCTGGATCCATGTCCACTTCCTGTTCTGTTGCTGGCCGGCGGGTCAGGGTCTAGCCAGCTGGATCACCGCCTCTGGCACTTATGGGTCTTTTGGTTTTATTTTATTATGTACTTGCTCAGGGTCTCACTGTGCAGCTGGGGCTCCTAGTGAGCCTCCTGTTTTCGGCCTTCCCAGCGCTGGGATTGCAGGCATGTGCTCCCACGCCCTCTCTCGGTGGCTGGGCTCAGCCTGCTGGGCGGCGGGGCCGGTGTGGCCTGTGGTGTGGGGAATCGAATCCTGGCCTCTGTGCTTGTCTAAACAGGCACTTAGTGTGCTGAGCCATCTCACTGACCCCAGAGAAGGATCTTTTGAAAAAGCTTTGTTTCTAAAAAAAAAAAAAATCTGAGGAGCCATGCAGGTGGAGCTCCTGTACCTTTCCAGCCTTTCTCCAAGCATCTCTGTGCTTCTTTGTTATTACAAAGATGGTGTGGTTGAAATCAGTAGCACACTTCCCCCGCCTGATGGTGAACATGCCCGGCGTCATCTGTCCCAGAGCTTCCTCTTCTGGTCTGATGGCTGTGTGGCCCCCTGTCCTGCGCCTGTGCTGAAGCTGGCCCTGCCTGTCCCCCCCTGAGGAATGAGCATTTAGCTTGTTCTCAGTTTTTCTCTAATATAAACAACTCTGATAAATGTTCCAGTGGTTTTCTTCTGTTGGGTGTGGTGGTACACACCTGTGATCCCAGTACTCAGGAGGCTGAGGCAGGAAGATTGCTGTGAGTTTGAAGCTAGCTTGGGCTACAAAGTGAGGGCAAGTCCAGCCAGAACTGCAGAGCAAGAACCTGTCTCAAAAAGACAAAAAAACCCGGTTTTCTTTGCTGAGCACCCCTCACACCCTGGTGATGATGATGGTGGTACTTAAGGCATTAATCTTACCCCTAAGTTACTGTGGACTGTGAACTAATTAGGCCTGCCGTCTCCCAAACAAGCGCACAGCAAGGCTTACCTCAGTGAGTCAAGGGGCATGACCTTAGGGCTCCAGGGGAATCCAGACACACTAACAACCCGAGACTCTCTGGAGGCTAAGACCAAGATCTTCTCTGGGCGGCCCCCATTTTTTGGTTAGCAAACAAAAGAGGGGATGCTGAAGAAGAGGGCAGCTCAAAGGCTTCTCCAAATAAGACATTCTGTTAATTTAGAGAACTGTTGTCTCCAGGAAGGTCCCCTCCCAGAAGTGAGGTGCCTGCAGGTACAGTCCTTGTGTAGGTGAGGTTGGAGCTGGCGTCCTCAGCGGCGCCTCAGCTTCACCAGCCACCACAGGCCTCAGCAGGACCAGCGACTCACAGAGCTTCACCTACGATGAGTCCGCTGCCCGTCTCAGGACAAGGGGCCTGGGCCTTGCACGGACTCACAAGCAAACGTGGAAAGCCAGCTGGTTGATTTTAAATCCTGATCATAGCCGCGTCATAGTGGTCTCCATCAGGTGGGGGTGGGGGTGATGCTGGTGCCGGTGGTGACAGCGCAGCGGTGGCCCCTTCACTGACCCGGTGCCCTGTGCCCCTGCAGGTGCAGTGCATTGACCATCATCACGCCAGCCAGGCCCTGGATGAGGTAACGACCGAGGCTTCCTCTGGAGGAGCGGGTGCGGCACGCAGGGACTCTGCTCTGTGCCCTGCGAGGGGGCAGGGTGGAGGGGTCCCGGATGGAGACCCAGCTCTCCCCGTCTCAGGGAGCACCCTGCCCTGGGGACCCAGGTGCTCAGGGGAGCTGCTGTCATGGTGTGTGAGCTGGTCCTCCAACAACTGACCAACTGACGGTGAAATGATTTTCTGTTTAGGGTTGGGTGTGGCAGGAGAGGGAAGACAGAGAGAGACAGAGGAGAGGGACAGAGAGTGAGAGAGACAGAGAGAGGAGAGAGAAGGAGGAGGGAGAGGGAGGGAGGGAAAGGGAAGGAGGGAGGGAGGGATGGAGAGAGAGGGAGGGAGAGGGAGGGAGGGAGGAGAGAGACAGGAGAGAGGGAGGGAGAGAGGAGAGGGAGGAGAGAGGAGAGAGGGAGGGAGGGAGGAGAGAGAGATAGGAGAGGGAGGGAGGGAGGGAGGAGAGAGAGAGGGAGCGAGAGAGATGGGAGAGAGACAGGAGAGAGCGAGAGAGAGGGAGGAGAGAGAGACAGGAGAGAGAGACAGGAGAGGGAGGGAGGGAGGGAGGGAGAGACAGACAAAGACAGGAAAGAGGAGAGAGCAAGAGTTTTTTCTTCAATTACAAAAAAGTACTTACTGTAAACTTTAGAAAATACAGATGAGAAAAAAAGAAAATGTTAATAACCCCTAACTACCATCCACATCTGACTAGCAGCCACGTTCTTACTTATCATAATGTAGTTAGCCATTTTTGTTGTCATTGTTGTTTTTGAGACAAGATCTCTCTTTAGCCGGGCTGGCCTCAACCTCACAGCGATCTGCGGCTCTAGCTTCCCGGGTGCTGGGATTGCAGCTTGTGCCGCCATGCCTTGCTGGCAGCTATCAATTTGACAGAGAGAGGTTCTGAGGCGTTTTCCTTTTGTGTGTGTGAGGTAATCGGACTTGAACCCTTGACCTGAGCTACACGCAATCTTTTGTTTTTTTTGTATCTGGGATCAAACTCAGGACCTTGCACTTGCCAGGCAGGTGTGTAAGCCACTGAGCTATCTCCCTGGCCCATAACTCAATCTTTTTTTATTTATGTATTTGGTACAGGGTCTCACTCCGCAGCTGGGATTCAGAATGATCCTCCTGTTTTCAGCCTCCCCAGCACTGGGATTGCAGGCATGCGCCGCTAGGCCCAGTCTCGGTGGCCGGCCAGCTTGCCCGGGGCGGGGCCGGTGCAGCATGTGGTGCCGGGAGCAAACCCTGGTCCCTGTGCTTGCCTAAGCAGGTGCTTGGTCAGCTGAGCTATCTCGCCAGCCCCAGTCTTTTTTTTCCTTTTTTTTAGTTTCTTTCTTTTTTTTTGGGGGGGGGGGTGGAACCAGGAATTGAACTCAGGCCCTTGTGCTTGCCAGGGAAGCGCTTATTCCACTGAGCCATCTCCCTGGCCTCCGGCCCCAATCTTTTTTAAGAACTTTATTTTTTTGGAGACAGGATCTTGCTAAGCTCCCCAGGCTGGCATCAAATTTGCCATCTTTCTGCCTCAGCCTCCCAAGGAGCTGGGAGTCCAGCTGTGTGCCCTGTGCCTGACCTGGGCAGGGCCCCTGGCCTTGCTGCTGTTGCATGGTTGAGCTGTGTGCTCTCCCTCCTGGTCCTGTAGCCTTTGTCTCTGCAGTTGCCACCTTTGTTCTTGCCGGCCTGTGTCTCTGGACGTGTCTGAGGGTGGACAGACACGTGGGCATGGGGTGTGGGAGGCCTGTGCCTCAGGGTCCCTGTCACGCCGCACACCCCACCCCGCTGCCCACGCTCCGGGGTGTCCATTCCGGATGCCTGACTGGGATGGCTTTGAAGCACTGTTGGGGGAGGGGAGCCGAGCGCTCTTGGTGCCCCCCACCCCTGCGTCAGCGCGTCTCCTCTTCAGCCAGGCCCGCTGGCTCCCCTCCTGCGCACCCCACCGGCTGGGAGGCTGAGTCCTGCTGTCCACTTTCCAGTTTGTTTGTTTCTTTCTTAAACTTTCTCTCCTTCCTTTTCTTTTTCTTTTTTGAGGCAGGGTCTCACTGTAGTTCAGGCTGGACTTGGAGTCACTGTGTAGCCCATGCTGGCCTTGAAGCCACAGTGACCCTCCTGCCTCAGCTTTCTGAGTGCTGGGGTTAGGCATGTGCACCACCACACCTATGCTTGGTTTTCTTGTCTTGCGGAGTTTTTTGGGCACAGAACGTGGGACGGGACGGGGAGATGGCTCAGTAGAATAAGTGCTTCCCTGGCAAGCGCAAGGGCCTGAGTTCAGTCCCCAGTTCTGGAAAAAAAACCCCATGGGACCTCAGCCCTGACTCTGGGCCTCTAGGCAGGTGTTGACCACCATCCCAGGGGACCCTGGCAGGTGTGGAGAGGTTACAGGTCTCCTCGCACAGCACAGCTGCGCATGTGCAGTCCTGCCTGGTGCCCTGCAGCTGCCCGCTGTGCCAGGCATGCTCCCTGAACTCCCCTCACTGTGCTCCACTCCACAGCTCATGCCGCTGCTGCAGCTCCGGCACCCCCACATCTCTGTCTACGAGGAGCTCTTCCAGATGTGGGACAATGAGGTGGGTCAGCAGGGTGTGCAGGCACCCAGTGGCAGTGACCCCCGGGGCCCTGCCTGGGCTGAGCACCTTGCTGTGGGCTCAGGCGCACTGTGCGGAGGGTGGAACCCAGAGGAAGGTGGCAGGGCCCACACGCCCACCCACGCTGTGGCCAGGCAGCAGCTGAGGCTGGGGTGCCCTGCAGTGTGGGGGCCACTCCCGGCTCAGCAGTCAGCCAAAGTCTGAGGAAGTCTGCCCTGGCAAGGGTTCAGCCCGTGGAGGGCGGCCCAGGAGCTACTGCCCTGATGGGCACCCAGCCCCAGCCCCTCATGCCTGAAGCTCCTGTGTGTCACCAGCCAGCTCCCCTTCCATCCTGGTGCCCCAGAAGACGCACGGGGCTGGAAGCGCCACTCTCCTGTCCTGGTGGGGCAGGGGCTCAGAGAGGGTGGGAGCCACCCAGGGCCACAAGGCTCTGCACAGCTGGCCTCGTCATGCAGGCTGTGGGACTTGTCGTCCTTACAAGGAACCAGAGACTCCGGATGGGACAGAGGCGGCAGGAGGGGTGCCGAGCAGGCCCTGGGAGGTGGAGGGGACATCTCACAGCACTGACCCCACCCGAGGCCTCTCGCAAGACAGTGCTGGGATGGGGCTCGCTGTGTGCAGCTCCGCACACGTCCCTAGCAGCCCGAGGAGCTAAGAGGACATTTCGGCATGGAGGGCGCCCTGGGTGGCCCTGGCCAGGGAGGCTCTGCGGAGAAGGGGTCAGAGCAGGTGGGGTGGCATGGCCAGCCCAGCCCAGGGGCAGCCAGTGCTGATGGAGCCCGGAGGGGGGTAGGGGGAACAGATGTCCAGCAGGCTGCCCCAAGGGCGATGCCGGCTAAGGGCCTGTGGCCTGCAGGTCTCCTCCACGTTCCTCTGCCTGGTGATGGAGTACAGCCCGGAGAGCTTCCAGGACGTCATTGAGGCAAAGAGGAAGGAGAAGGCTGTCGTTGACGCTCAGGTGGCACTTGTGGTCCCCTGCTCCAGAGGGCCTGGGAGGGCAGGTGCCCCAGCCTGGCTTGCATCCCCAAGTGTGTGCGACACACAGTGACAGCCACGCATGTGTGGGCTCCAGAGGCCCCAGGCAGTCGCTGCAGCTCAGCAGGCAGCGTGTGGTGCTGTGTCTGAGTGGCGGTCCCCACACGGCCCTGCGTGGCCCCCAGGGCTGCCCCGGCTGGCCTGCCCAGTGCCCACACTTGTTTCCATTGGTGTGAAACAAGTGCTGCTGTGATGGTTTCTTCTGTGCCTGTCTGGGCGTTTTGCCCATGTAAACAATTTAAATTTGTTTCTGATCTTTCGTTTGGTGCAGGGTCTCGATACGCAGCTTGGACTCATAGTGCTCCCCCGGTCTCGGCCTCCCCAGTGCTGGGATTACAGGCATGCGCCACCGCGCCTGGTTTCATTGGCCCGCACGGAATGTGGTACAGGGATCAAACCCTGTCCCTTGTGCTTGCCAGGCAGGCACTTAGACTGCCGAGCTGTCTCCCCAGCCCCCGTCTATGTAAACATTTAGGTGGGGTTTTTTTCCCCCTTATTGATGCCTAGTTCCTTTAAAAATTAAAAAAAAAATTTTTTTTTTAGGCACTAGGGATTGAACCCAGGGCCTTTGCACTCAGCTACATTTTTGGTCCTTTATAATTAAAAAAAAAAAAAATGTTTTGAGAGGGCTAGCCAAATAGCTCAGTGGATTAAAGTGCCTGCAAGCAGGCGCAGGGGCTGGGCTGTGGGTTCCATCCCTGGGCCTGCCGTGCTGGCCCTGCCCCCAGGGCTTGATGAGATGGTGATTTGAGACTGGTGTGGTGATGCAAGCCTGTAATTCCAGCACTTGGGAGGCTGTAAACAGAATCACTACGAGTCTGATCTAGCAGTGAGACCCTGAACACCCTGTAAACCCTTCCCTAAAAAATACAGAAAAAAAAAGGCATCACTAAGTCACTAAGTTGTAAGGCTGGGCTTGAGCATTCAGCCTTCCTGCCTTGGCCTCCCAGAAGGCTGGGGTCCCAGGCGTGCACCCAGCCTCCAGGCGTCCTCCTTGCACTCTGGACCCGAGTGTCAGGGTGTCTGCTGAGTCGCTTCCTTAATGGCGTCTTGTGACGGGCAAAGGTCTTAGAGGTGGTGAAGTCCGGTGATCGTGTCTGCCCTCTTCCGCCTGCGCTCCCAAGCTCCGTCTGCTTTCTTCTGGAAGCTGGGTTACTGTGCTTCCCCCTCGGGTCGAGGCCCTGCCCTGCGTGGCTCCTGTCTGCTTTTCTCTGAGCGCTTCTCTGGGGCTGTATGGCAGGCTCTGGCAGGAGCCTCAGAGGCAGCTCTGGGCATCTGCTACTGGTGGGGTGCAGTCCTGGGAGACACAGACATCCCAGCACCCGAGCCACTCTGGCTGGTGTGGCGCCTGTGGCGCCCAGCCTCCCTGACTCCTGGGTGGCCCAGAAACAGTGGCATGGGGTCTAGGGACTGCAGAGACATGCTGTCAACCCCTGCCCCAGGCACTAAGTGCAGCTAGGGTGTCACTTGGAGGGCTTCCTGAGCAACCTCTGCTGGGCTCTTTCACTGGAAGGACAGAAGGGCTTCTGAGTCTCTGGTTCCTAGCAGGGCCTCTACCTGAGTTCCCACAGTGTGGGGCAGTGTGGACCACAGAGAGGCTGCCCTGGGCACCCCGTGTCCCCAGCAGGCCGCTGCCCGCCCGGTCGCTGTGAGGGCCACCTGCCCACCCACACTGGCATCCGTGCTTCTCCCCAGTGGCTGCAGACCATGCTGGTCCAGGTGCTGGATGCGCTGGAGTACCTGCACCACCTGGACATCCTGCACAGGTGAGGCAGAGGGCTCCCGGCTGCGGGCCGTGGAAGTGCTGGACAGCGTGCACGTGGGTGGGCAGAGATGCTGCCCAGGGAGGGGGAGGGCTGGGGATGGCTGCAGTTCCGAACACGTGCATCTTAACTAAGGAAAAGAGAAAGCCCACTGGGCCCGGAGTGTGCACTCGTGGTCCCGTGTACCTCAGCAGTTATTACACAGTGTGACACGTGGCTGAGACCTCCCTGAGGGGCATGCGAAGCTACCTGCACCTTGCAGTTCTCCTGCCTCAGCCTCCCTGAGCGCTGGGGTTATAGGTGTGTGCTGCCACATGTGACTAGGAAACTGTTTATTAAGGGAGCTAAGTAGGGGCATTTTTGGAAAGAGGGGAGGGGTGTGGAATCAGGAGAAAGCCTGACCATGTGTGGCCCCTAAGAGGGGTCCTCAAGGCCACCCTGCAGCCCCAGGTGCCACCTCTGGGTTGCAGGAATCTTAAGCCCTCAAACATCATCCTGGTGGGCCAGAACCAGTGCAAGCTGCAGGACCTCAGCTGCCACGCGCTGATGACCCACCGAGCCAAGTGGAACGTCCGCGCGGAGGAAGGTGGCCAGAGCACCCCCGGGCTGGGAGAGGGGGCTGCAAGGGGTGGCCTTGGGCACTGTGGGTGGGCTGTGGCCACTGACCTCAGGTCAGAGAGACCCCGTGCCTGGGCCATAGCTGGGCGACAGTGCCACTGTGGGCTGGGTGCAGAGTCCAGCACGGAGAGGAGGAGCCCTGCGGAATGGGGAGCCTGCTGTGGTGCTCCTGAAACTGTTAGTCCTTGTTAGGGAAAAGAAGGCCCCAGAAGGAGACCGCGGTGGAGAACAGAGGGTCCCTGGGGTGGGCACTGGCCATGCATGCTGCTGTACCGAGGCCTGAAACGGCCAGGGAGGTGGTGGGGAGTGGAAGGGGAAGAGACGCAGGGAGGTGGGAGCTGGGCCTCAAGCCTGTGGGAGCTGTCCGGGCGGACAGAACGGCCAGGAGCAGGATTCCAGTAAGCAGAATGTCTTGGGTCACAGTGGCTGGCAGCACTGTCCTTGGTACCCAGAGGCTGGCTGGCTGGGTGGGTGGACGGATCTGCGGATGGGCAGATGCCAGGAGAGATGGACAGATGAATGGGTCCTAGTATGTATAGCTAGGTGCACAGTGGGACAGACGGACAGATGGACTGATGCGTACATGGATAGGTGCGTGGTAGAATGAATGGGTGAACAATCAGTGGTTGACAGGATATACGGGTGGGTGGGTTATAAGATGGATAGGTGGATGGTAGAACTGGTGGATGGCAGGATGGACGGTAGATAACATATGAATGGGTGGGTGGCAGGACAGCAGGATGGGTAGATGGACACAGGGATGGGTGGGGGTGGATGGACAGGTATGTACAAGTGGATGGATGGATGGATGGATGGATGGAAGGTGGAGAAGACACAGAAGCTTGGAGAAAAGCTGTTGGGCTGGGAAGTGGAGATCTAGAGAGGGAAGGGCTTCCCGAGGCCTGCGGAGGGCTGGCAGGCTGGCCTGAGGACCCTGCTCTGCTGGCTCTCTCTGGGGTTCAGGTGTATTACCAAGGGGAGCTGAAACTTTGCCCCAGGTTCCTGCATCTGGAAGGGGAGATACTGAGAGAGATGAGATTTGGGCCTTCTCAGCGCCTGTAGCCTTCGTGGGCATGGACACACACACCTGGGTAGGCTGGACACCCTCCCTGGCCAAGACCCAGGTGGAGGCCTTTCTCCTCCACAGCTTGCATCTCAGGCTGCTTGCAGGGGCCACAGGAAGGAAACAGAGCCAGGTCAGCATGGCTTGGTCTGGGTACATGCCCCTGAATGAATCCCCTTCGTGCCAACAGACCCCTGTAAGAAGTCGTGGATGGCCCCTGAAGCCCTCGATTTCTCCTTCAGCCAGAAGTCGGACATCTGGTCCCTGGGCTGCATCCTCCTCGACCTGGCCAGCTGCTCCTTTCTGAACGTGAGCAGCCTCCCACTCACATACCTTGCTCAGCTCTGCTGGGCTCTGCTGAGGACCCGGTAGCTGCAGGGTCACGCTCACCCCAGCATGCACATACCTCTGCCCTGGCTGACGGCCCAGGACCCTGCATCCAGGAGCCCTTGCTGGTGTTCTCGATGCCAGGAGCTGAGGCCTGGAGCTTGGGCATGAACCCACAGGTTGGAGGGGCCTGCTCTCCTGTCATCCTGGCAGGTGGCTTCTGTCTTGTCCCTACTGCATCGTGCTCCAGGACACGTGCTGGGCAGAGAGGAGGGGCAGGCAGCAGGGCAGGCCCACATGTGGCTGTGGAGCAGAGCCCTGCTGCAGAGAGAGGTAGGGATGCCAGGCTGAGAGCAGGGACTGCCCCCAGCCTCCTCCACACCTGGCACAAGTGTCTGGCTGGGCCCCAGCGTCACCTCCTCCTCCTCCCAGATCCCAGGCTGCACCTCTGAGAAGCACCCTGCCCTCCATCCCTGTGGAAGGCTCCAGGGGAACAAGGGCCAGAGGAGCCCCCCACACCAGTGCCCAGCACTGGTGACCTTGGGCACTGCTGCTTTCTGCGGAGTGGCCCTTTGCCCCTCTTGTAAGCTGGGTCCACACAGGACAGGGCAGGCTGTCCCCTGCCCCTCTCTGACCTATGTCATTCTCCACAGAGGAGCTCCTGCTCTTGTGGCCTCTGGCTGGCCGCTGGCCCCTTGGGGTTTCCTTGGTCCCATGCCTTCCCTGCCCGTGGCCAGGCCTACCACTCACCTGGTCAGAGAGACACAGCATGTGCTGTCCTCACAGGGTGTGGAGGCCATGTACCTGCGGAAGTCACTGCGCCAGCAGCCAGGTGGCCTGCGGGCCTTGCTGGAGACCGTGGCCGAGCGGGAGGTCCCCCTAGCGGACACCTTCTCGCTCCTCCTGCCTGCAATGCTGCAGATCAACCCCTCAGATCGGATCACAATCAAGTGAGCTGAGGGGCAGTTTGTAGTCTGACAGTTGCCTTCCAGTGTCCTTCTGCCCCAGCACAGTCGGGGCGCCAGTACTTCTGGACCACCAACACCATCCTGGTATCTGCGCGTGCCCATGGGCTGCGCCAGCGTGGCAGCTGGCGCCTGCACACCTGTGTGGGAGCAGCCACCAGGATGGGGCAGGGGTGTGGCCCAGGAACAAGTTTAAATGCTAATTTAAAATCAGATGTGAAAACCATTGGTCTTTGAACCAACCAGCTGTAAAAATCTGATTGTCTTTGTTTTTATGGAGAAAGTAGTCCTGCAGGCAAAAGCACCAGGACCCAGGGGTGACCTGCACCTCTGCAGAGGAGTCCTTGCAGGGGAGGTGCCAGGCCCTTGCTGGGCACTTGGGCATCCTGAGAGACACACCCAGACAGATCTCAGCTCAGGAGGCTGGTGCCCAGGAAGGACGAGCTGGGGCCAACCCGGAAGCAGCTGCCAGGGCCCCAGGAGGCGGCCAACTGTCTTTGCCCCTCTGCTAGGGATGTGATCCGCATCACCTTTGGGAAAGCCTCGCTCAAGTCCCCGAGCATCGCGCTGAGCCTGCACGGACTAGGGATACCTGAGGAGATCACCACCGTGCTGCTGGAAGGCAACATGGCCAGCATTCTAGGTGATGGTGGGGACAGAGGCAGGCGTTGGCAGCTGCCGTGGCCCAGTGCCCTATGTGGTTCTGGAAGGCCACGCCTGCCCCGTGCCTGTCTCAGTGGGCCTACTCCTCTCCCATGCCCTGCACAGTGGCCAGGCAGGCCCCACCAGTGACCCCTCCATCTCTGTGTGTTCCAAGTCCCAAGCCTGAGCCCGTGCTGTTGCTCCTGCACCCAGCTTGACCTGTGTGCCGGCCCTGCCCAGGTGGCGGCAGCACACACGCACCAGGGCTCAGGGCAGCCTCACAGACTTGGGCAAGAGCTGGGACAAGGCACCTGGCTCAATTTGTGGTCTGGGGATAAAAGCGCCATCTTGGGGCCTGGTGGTGTAGCTCCCAGGACGGGGCAGAACCTGCTTGGCTGGCCCTGAGCAGGTCCCCCATGCCCTACTGTCCCCTGCAGAGGTCATGCAGACCTTCTCCAGCCACCCTGAGGTGCAGCTCAGAGCCATGAAGAAGCTCATCTCCATGCCTGAGGACCAGCTCGGTAGGGGCCTCAGAGGCCTGGTTCTGTTCTCGGGAGGGCCTGGGGCCTATGCCACCTGCTCGGACAGCGCAGCATCGGCCGCTCCCTGCTGCCATGCCTGTGGGGGGGGGTCCCACCGATGTCCTCCATCCTGCTGTGCCCTCAGTGGGCCTCCGCATCTGTTCTTGGGGACAGCACCCTGCTGGACGCGCTGGAGATGTGCAGGCGGGCCTGAGTGCCTGTGGAGGGTGAGGCCCGGGCCCAGGCTGCACTTCCAGCCCCTGCAGGGACACACCGGCTCGCACGCAAGTCCCCGTGAATACCTTTTCTGCCTTCCTCCTGAACGTAATCTCCACGGTGAGCTGGTGATCCTCCTGCCTGAGCCTCCGAGCGCTGGGCTTACAGGCATGCACCACCGTGCCCCGGAGCCAGCCGTTTTCTCACTGGAGAAGTGCAGCTTGTGAGAGGAGGGACCTCGCTCCTGGGCTGCTGGGAGCACACGCCTGGCGTAGCCTGGCATGGGGTTGGCATCTCTGCTCTGAGCACTCGGGAGGCCGAGGCAGGATCTCTTGCATCCTAAGCCGCACAGGGAGAGCCTATTGTTTTGGTACAGGGATCGAACTCAGGATCTGGCGCTTGTCAGGCAGGCGCTGATGCCACTGAGCCATCTCCCCAGCCCAAGAGAGCCTGTTTCTTAAACAAAAAATATGGCAACTCTTGGGCTGACCGTGTCGCTTAGTGGCGAGTGCCTGCCCGCCAGGGTGAGGCCCTGGTTCTGTCTCCACCACTGCTAGGAAGAGAAAGATGCCTGGTCACGCAGGCCCCTGCCCTCTGCCCGCCCCAATTCCTGTGCCCCTGCAGCCTCTAGGCCTGGCTCCCCACACGTGTCCCCGCACCCTGCCTTCCAGGGCTGCCCTGGCCCTCCGAGCTGGTGGCGGTGGTGGTGGCCGCCATGGAGCAGCACCAGAGGCTCCTGGAGGTGCAGCTGTGCGCCTGCACCCTGCTGCTGCGCGTGCTGGGCCAAGGTGGGTGTGGCTGGCCCGAGCTGTGCCCCCAGGGGTCCACGCCAGCCCGGGGCCACTCCACGAGCCTGAAGGCGTGGGCTCCGGTGGCCCAGGGCAGGACAGGGTCCTCCCCGCTGACTTGGAGGTGGGCTGCGTCCCCAGCAGGCCTCTCACTGCCCAGCAGGGGACGGGACGCTGAGCTCTCAGCCAAGGAGCGGCCCCTACAGCTCTGGGTGGCAAGATCACTTAACTGACTTTGGTCAGGACTTGCTTTTCCAACTTTATTACTGAGGGTTCGATTTCCATGAACAGTTTAGGTTTTGTTTTGCTTTTTTGTAATGCCAGGACCTTTGTCCTCATGCGTGCTAGGCTAGGGCTATGCCAAAGAGCTGCAGGCTGACCCTGAATTGTGTTGTCTTTACTTTGGCCCACCGGCCCTAGCTGCTGGCTTGTGACACCAGTATGGGCCTGTGGTGTCACAGGGTGGCCGTGAGCAGGGGCACAGCCCTGGTGCCATGGCCGTGCCTTCTGCTGCCTGCCACGTGGCTGGGGCCAAGGTGGACCTGGGTTTCCTAACACCGGGTGGACATGCTGCCCCGACCTGGGCGTAGGGCACCCAGCCCTGGGCTGAACCCGGGCTTTCCTCTGGCCCGAGCAGCACTGGTGCGGGACACCGACACCAAGGTGTCCTGGGATGCCAGCTTCAGCTCCGTGCTGCTGAGTGTCATGCAGAGCCACCCTGACTCGACGCGGCTCATCGTCAAGGTTTACAACCTGCTCACCATGGTCTCCGACCACGGTGGGTGCCGCCCCGTGGGCAGGCTATGCCTAGGGCAGCCCGCTGCAGAGGCCCCAGCACCACCCCGTTGCTCCCAGATGTGGGGGCACAAGCCGTGTGCTGACATCCACTCCAGTCCCCACATTTCCACCCCTGCTGGGCTCTGACCTGCAGCCAGGAGGGGCCTGGGTGACAAGAGGTCACCAAGGGCTCAGCAGGGACAGTAATGTACAGTGTACCCCTCTCAGCCTGCTTGGCGCTCAGGGACCCCAGCCAGAGCACCCTGGCCCATGGAGACAGGGCAGGGCTGGCCCGGGGACACTCTGTCCACTCTACCCCGTGACTCGCTCCCTTTTGTGGAGCCCATCTGGGAAGAGGCATCAAGTAAGATAGCTGAGCCAGCCCAACACCGGGTAGCTCCCACTCCCTGCAAAAGGGCTGTGTCTCACAGGGAGGGCGGGGCCCCGAACTGGGTAGCCACAGTGGCTTGACCTGCCTCGTGGTGGGGTGGGCGGAGGCCCTGGAAATGGTAGCCCCCCATCTTTGGTTCTGCATGGACATGAGCTTGGTCTGGGGCAGGCAGGCGCCTGGGCACGTGGGTGGGTGAGGACCACGATGCCTGCAGCCGCAGCAGGCAAGGCAGGCTCCTGGAGGCCCCCTTCCCCCTGCAGAGCCAGCCTCCGAGCTGCTGCAGCAGGCCGGGCTGTGTGAACTCATCCTGCAGCACCTGACCAGCTTCTGCCAGGACCGGGAGGTCTGCCTCGGTGGCCTGGGCCTGCTCTGGGCCCTCTTGGTGGATGGTGAGGCTCCCTCCCTGTCCTCCCGCCGCAGCACGCAGAGCCCCATGGGGCAGCAAAGGGAAACAAGGGCAGGACGGGGACGTGGAGATACGGAGACACAGGCAGCTCTGCTCCGGGGGTCAGCTGGCCAGCTGGACGCCCCAGCCCGACCTCTGATCCAGAGCCAGGGAGCTGCCTCCTACCCACACCATCTTGCCCTCCAGTGGGCTTGGCGAGCCGGGAAACCCCAGCCCCTTGGCCGGCTGTCCCTTGATTGTAGGTTCGGGCTGTGGAGGTGTCCTCTCCTGTTGGGGTGGGGACAGGAATACAGCACGCACCCGAGCTCTGTGTCTGTTCTGGATCCAGCTGTCATCATGAACAGAGACCCCTTGAAGAAGTTACCGGCTATGGTTGTCCAGGTTTTAGACACCCACCCTGTGGACGTGGATGTGGCAGAGGCTGGCTGCGCAGTTCTCTGGCTGCTGTCCTTGCTGGGTGAGCAGCCAGGGCTTGGGAGTGGAAGGCAGCCCGCGGTAGGCTGGGGAGTGACCCGGCGCTGTGCCCCAGGCTGCATTCGGGAGGAGGAGCTGGAAAAGGTGGTGGTGCTGCTGCTGCGAAGCATCCGGCTGGGCCAGGGCAGGGTCCAGCTGGTGAACAACGCCTACCGGGGCCTGGCCAGCCTCGCAAAGGCATCTGGTAAGCTGGGGCTGAGGCCTCGGGGACACGTTCTGCCCGGGAGACAGTGTCATGGGATCAAGGGAGCAGGCCCAGGGGCAGACCGGGTGGAGCCCCCCACCTGACATTCAAGGCGCCTTGCCCTCAGGAGCCTCAGTTTCCCCTGGGGGAGGCCAAGGCTTTGCCCCGCACGTACCTCAGGAAGCCAGCACCCAGCACCTGAGCTGAGTGCCCCTGTGGGTCTTAGGGTCTTTGCTGCCTCTGTGCTGGGGGGTACACTTGGAAAAGGGAGGCAGCACCCCACTTCCTAACCACCCACACGGAGTGGGGACAGCCTGACCTCGGCTGCTCATGCCCACTCTGAACTCATCAGCCCATCTGGTGACACTGGGCTGAGGACCAGCCTGGGGCCATCTGTGAAGGCTCCCTCACTGCCCCTCAGAGCTGGCAGCCTTCCGGGTGGTGGTGCTGCAGGAGGGCAGCAGTGGCCTCAGCCTGCTGCAGGAGACCTACCAGCTCTACAGGGACGACCCCGAGGTGGCGGAGAACCTGTGCATGCTGCTGACCCACCTCGCCTCCTACAGTGAGGGGCCTGGAGTGGCAGCCTGCGGGAGAGCCCGGGGGAGGGGGGGCGGGGGCCCCATGGCAACTTCCACTCATCCAGCACCCACCTCTGCCTGTCCACACCCAGTGCTGCTCACTGAGGGTGACAGGCCGACCCCAGCATCCCAGGGCGGCACCGCCCACCGTCAGAGCCCTGTGGCCGCAGGGTCTGGGTCTCAGGGTCCCTCTACCCCCCCCGCAGAGGACATCTTGCCGGAGCTGGAGTACAGTGGCATCGGGGCCTTGGCGCAGGACATCCAGGACCGCTTCCCCTCCAGCCTGGTGAGTGCAGGCCGGAGCACCCCTGCCTCGGACGCCTGGAGCTGCACCCTCCCTGCTGGTCCTTACTCGTCCAGCCCCACGCGGGGCCAAAATCAGAGCTATGGAGTGGGCTGTCGGGACAAGCGACCTGCTCTTCTTTCCTCCAGGAGCTGGTTTCTTATGCAAAAAAAGTGCTCCTGAGCCTGGAGACGGCTGCGCAGCCCGGCCCTGGGGCCAGGGAGCTGCCTGGGGCAGCCTGCGGCCTCTCGGGGGACCGTCCTGCCCTGCCCTGAGGTGCCGTCCTTCCTGGCCCAGTGTAGGTATGGACAGAAGGGTCGCCCACTGCCCTCCGTGACTAGTACAGAGGCCCTGAGGCTGCTGCAGTGCATCCAAGTGCTGGCTGGGGGGGCTGACTGGCAGGGCCCCGAAGGTCCCGAGTGCAGGAAGAAGCCATACCTCCACAGTGCCCAGTGTTTATTTGTGTGCTGGGGATGAGACCCAGAGCCCTGCATATCCTGCGCAGGCCCACACCCCCCTCCTGTAGCACCTGGCTGCCTTTGTCAGTGTCGGCCTGGAGGGTCCCCACAGCAGGCAGATGGCTGGCTTGGGCTTCAGTCCCTGTCAGTGTAACGGCCACGCCACCCCAGCCCAGCCCAGCCCCTAGGCCCCGCCAGCATGTGCCTGGCTGGCCTGCTGGAGCCCACAGCCTTTCTGACCAGGGGAGGCACTGCTTCGGTGCCAGTGTCTGGGTGTTCTGGTGCAAGTCTCTGCTGGGTGCCCATCTGTGGCAACCCTGGGTCACCTGCAGTAAATGGAGGGCAGAGCCCGCCCCCACAAAGTCCCTCTCGAGGGTCCCGTAGCCTCAGCAAAGTCCAGTCCGCAGTGAGGCAGCTGCTGTACCAGTGGCTGCTGCAGGCACCTGGTCTGGGTCCCTGTGGTCTGGCACAGCCTATCCCCTCATCCATGATAAGAGGGCAAAGTGGCCTCGGGGCAGCTACCTGAGCACCAGGCCAACCCCCCCAGAGCTCATCAAAGCAACGGCAGCAGCTAGGTGTCCCTCTCCTGCACACCTGACCTGTTGGCCATGCCTGGGACACACACCTCGTGTCCTCTCCTGCACACCCGTCCCGTGGCTCATGCCCTGCACCCTCGGCCTTGAAAGCGGCTCGCCAGACGTGCTTCTTTTGGGAGACACTGGTCCCATGATCTGGTCCCATGCTGGGGGTGTCGAGGTGCCACCACAGGGCGGAGGGTGGGAACTATGTGTCCTCACTGCGGCGGTCCTGGGCACTGGCCGGGGGCCGCCTGTCCTGGGCCACGCTCTCCCAGTCCCTCTTCACCATGACATAGAGCCTCATTGCTGCCTGGGCGTCCTGGACCTAAAGGATAGGAAACCATGCTGGCTGTCAGCTGGGCCAGGCTGTCCCACGCACCTTTGCCCGTTTACAGGGAAGGGGCCAAGGGGAGGGCAGAGGCTGGCTCTGTCAGGTTCGCCAGGGGGCCTTCACGAGTGTGGCTGAGGGCTGGGGTCCAGCACTGGGCCTGAGTGGACAGGCAGAGAAAGCCCAAGGACCGCAGGCCGTGCACAGGTCCTGTGGTGGGGTGGGCCCAGCAGCACTCTTCATCTGCCTGTGGTTGTGCACCAGGGTCTGGTCCCGTGGGGCAGGGCTGAGGGGAGCATCTGTGTCCCCAGAGCCTGCTAGAGAGCCGTGACAGCAGGACAGAGCTTCCCTCTCCTGCCTTCCTGCGCACCCACAAGACTGCTCTCTTCAAAATCTCCACTTGCTCTGGGGCCTTCCGGAGACCCTGTGCTGGCGCCACACTCTGAACTCCGTGGAGCTAAATAAACTTCTCTGTGTGGACTACCCAGGCTCGAGTCTTTGGTCATCATAACAGAAAGCAGGCTGCCGCTGCCTCTAAATGGACTGGCGAACTTCTCCAGGTAATACGAGCTAGCCTTTTTTTTTTTGCGGAACCGGGGATTGAACTCAGGCCCTGGTGCTTGCCAGGCAAGCGTTTATTCTACTGAGCCATCTCCCCGTCCCCGAGCTAGCCTTTTGATGCGGTGCTTCTAAGACTTTAACCCTTCCTCACAGCCCTCAGGAGGCTGAGGCAGGAGTCCTGCTGGGAGTTCGACCAGCAGAGTTGGGCAACAAAGAGCTCAGGGCAGCATGAACTTGACAGTGAGACCCTGTCCAAAAAGACAAGAGAGGAAAAAAAAAAAAAAAGCTGCCCTGGCTACCAGGCACCGTCTGTGTCTGCCCTCGGGTGACACGGGCCTGGACTGCAGGGTCAGGGTCAAGGTAGTCCCAAGGCGGCCATCCCCATGCTCACCGAACAGTGCTCTTCCTGCTGGACTCTGACACCCAGGATCTTCTCACAAAGCAGCTTCAGAGATGGCCTGCTGCTCTGCAAGTGGGAGACGGCACGAGGCGCGCTGGGGCGGGGGGTGTCTGCGCCGAGAGCGGGGTTACCCAGCCCCACCCACCCGGCCAGCAGTCACACATGTCCCCACCAAGTGCAAGCCTCGGCGCCCCACACGGGGAGAGAAAGGCGCCCACGCCTGGCCTCCCCCTCAGCACTCCCTGGCGTCCTGCCCATGCTCCCAATGCTGGCCACCAATGGAGCTGCTTTTGCCTTTTGCTTTTTATGGGGCTGGGGAAGGAACCTGGGGGTTGTGCATGCAGGCCAGTGCTCCACGCGGAGCAGAACCCCAGCCTGCTTGTTAGGGTCCTTCTTCTAAAATTAATTTGGTAGAGGGTCTCGCTACGCAGCTTGACTCATAGCTCATGGTGACCCTCCTTTCTCAGCCTCCCCAGTGCTGGGATTACAAGCAGGCACCACCAGGCCCGGTTCTGGTGGCCAGCTTGGCAAGGGGCTGGCACGGCATGCAGCGCCAAGGATGGAGCCAGGCAGGTGCTTAGGCCAGAGCTGTCTCCCCAGCCCTTGTTAGATTCCTTTTATCTTTTTAGTCATTTGGGCTATTTCTTTTATATAGCAAACTAAAGACTGCAGATTGTGGGCTCTGAATGTACTCAGCACAGATCCGCAGGGCCTCAGTGCACAGCTCACACTCAGGATCCTCCTGTTTCCAGCCTGCCAAGAGCTGGGATCACAGGGCGCACCACCATGCCCAGTCCAGGTTCCTTTTAAAGGTGAAAGGACTAGACACAAATGCTTTCAAGGCTGAGGAGACAACTCAGCGGAGCAAGCACAAGGTCCTAAGTTCAAGTCCCAGTACCAAAAAATAAAATTAAGAACAAGTCAGGCATCCCAGAGCAGAAGGAAGCCCCTGGCCCACGCCCACGCTCCAAGTACCTTCACCTGCCGCTTGAAAGGCTTGTACTTCTGCGTGTCCCGGATCTTCCTCTTGGGATGATCAAGAAACAGCACCTGCAGGAAGGCGACCAGCATTTCCATCTTAATCGGGGCAGGAGGACCCCCTTTTGAAGTAACATCTTACAGAGGACCCCAGCATGTGCCCCTCCAGCAGGCGTGCACACACGGGGGGCGCTGCCAGCCTGACTCGCGGTGCGGTGCGGTGCGGCCTGAGAGCACTGCAGCAAGAAAATCTTGAAATCCAGGAGGTGGAGTCAGCTGACTGGACCAGCCGGTCCTGTGTGTGGGGAGTCAGGTTTCCACCGCTCACCCTGCAACCCCGGCCAGGCCCTCCAGACTCGCACGTGGCCTGCACAGGGGGTCACTGCAGGGGACACTGCCCTGGGGCCACCTCGGAAGGTGACTCAATGCATGAGTGGCGGGTGACTTTTGTTAGCTTTTAGTACTTAAACATTATCTTATTTTTGCTATCATCTTTTTGGGGTACTGTAGGCTGGATTATAAAGGGGACCCAGCCTGGCATGGCTGTCCAGGAACCCCATGATTATCCAGACCCCCGCTGAGGCCAGCCGTGAGCAAGGATCATGAGGGCTCGGGCAGGGACGAGGCAGCGGGCCTGTACCAAGGCTGCACTCGGGAACGCGGAGGCTCAGCTCCGTGACTGTCAGCAGCAGCCCTCAGGGCACCATACCGAGGTGGCCCGAGGAAGAGCAGAGGCAAGCTCTGCCCCCAGCGCCCTGGGTGGTGTCCCTGCTGCTCCCTCTCAACAGACTGTGCGGCGTGTGTCTGGCGACCCCCGAGCCCAGCATCAGAGCAGCACCCAGGCAGAGCTGGGCCGGTCGGGTGACACATGAGGGCTCTGCCAGTGTAAGCCACACAAGGTGACAGAGTCCCTAGAGAGGTCCCAGGGAGCTCCTCGGCCAGGCCCCTCCATTTGCGCTGGCACCGGAGCCCTGTGCCTGCCGTGGCCCCAGAACCAGCAGGAGCCACAGGGCACCATCGCGGGGGTACAGAACCATGAACCTCCAGAAGCCGCTCTGGAAACGGCACTGGGCACCGGCACGCAGCGCACCTTCAGGTCATTGTGCAGCGCGTGCCCCACCAGGATCCTGCCCTTCAGCATGGCTGCCACTTCACGCTGCACAACGCTGAGCTCCTTGCCTGAAAGTCAGAGAAAGGCAGGCGGTTCAGTCTGTGCATTGCTGCCATCAGAGGGAGGCCCCCAGGCTGGAGGCTGGCCACACCCAGCATGCGTGGGGCACCCGTGGTCCTCCCCATAGGGACACTCCACGGCCCCATCATGCCTACGGCATCTCTAACTCAGGTTAGAGCCCTCGGCGATCCTTCAGAGTCCTCAGAGTTGGGAGCTGAACTTTTTTTTTTTTGCGGAACTGGGGATTGAACTCAGGCCCTTGCGCTTGCCAGGGAAGCGCTTATTCCACTGAGCCACCTCCCCGGCCCTGGAGCTGAACTTCTGTAATTTTCCAAGTTGAGATAAAAACTGGCCCTCTGAGGGCATGGTGGTGCACGCCTGCCACCCCAGCACTCGAGGTGGAGGCAGGAGGATCACCGTGAGCTCAAGGCCAGCCTGGGCTACACAGTGAACCAGTCCAAAAGTAGCCTGAACTACACAGTAAGACATTATCTCAAAAAACCTTAAGCCCCCTCCCCTAAAAGCCAACCAGCCCTCACCCCTGGGCACTGGGGGGCACACTGTCCCAGACGCTGGCTCCACGTCATTGCAGACACCTTGGAAGGGTCCCAGAGCCACACTCACACCTGTGACTCCACCCAACCCAGGGCAGCGCTGAGGACACTGGCCTCCCTCACAGGACGGGGACCAAATCTTGGATCTGAGGGCTCCAGGGCTACCAGGCAGGCCACGGACCCAAGGCGTGATGGGCAGTTGTGTGGGACAGATTCTGAGCGGCCTGTCTAGGAGCATGTGGCGCCCCTCCCCACGCAGCACGTGGAGACCCGGCTGCTGCTTACGGGGCGGCCCTCTCCTGCCACCTTACAGACACCTCCCTGCCGGCCCACCCGTTAACAAGCTTCCTGACCCGCACTGTCACAGCCATGGGGACCCTGCTGGACCCTAAGCCAGACCAGGCCTCTCTGCTCACAACCTCCAGGGCTTCACAAGAGACCCTGTGGTCTGTCCAACAGCTTCCCACCTCGTTCCCAACACGCAGGACATAAAGGTGCAGTGGGCTGGGGTAAGTAGTGCTGGGACTCTAGGGGTGCTGGGTGTCCTCACAGAGGAAACACGGGCCCTGACCATGACTCCCAGGCCGGTGCCCACGCGCCGCGAATCGACACTGTACCCTGCTGGAGGTGCTCGGCCCGCACCCCGCTGATGGCTGTCCTGTAGTCCGTCACAGGCTCCGTCGGCTTGACGAACTTGTCGTATACGCACTTCCCATACTGGTTCACGAGCGACACGCGGGCAGCGATGCTGTCCTCCCCCTTGGGGCCCACGCCCACCATCTCGCAGTCCAAGGCCAAGGCTTTAGTCAGGCTGGGAACCAAAGCTCTGGGTAACAAACGCCGTAACGCCAAGCCAGACCCAGTGGGCAGAGTCCTGCGCCGCCCTTCGCAGTGCCACTCCACACACCCGAAGGGCAGCCGTGGCCCCCCAGAGCCTCACCCTGGAAGAGGCTGCTCCTAGCCCCGGCTGACCCTGCCTACCCGTCAAAGGCCTGCTCCTTCTCCAGGGAGACGCTGCTCTCGTTCTGCCCGAGCTGCCTCCTCGCTACCCTGGCTGCCTCTGGGCCCAAGGCAGCCTCAATGTCGACTGGGTCCACATCATCAAACCAGATGTCCTCCCTAAAACAGACAAGAGCAGCTGGCCACCAGGCCAGGCGCCCCTGCAAGCCCTGGCTCTGTGGTGCTGGTGGGCTCACAGGTGCCCACGGAGACAATCTTGGCCCTTCTGCGACTTTTCTTTTTACCTAGCCAACATGCTTGTCCTCCAAGATTTAAGCCACAGAGAAACAGGGAATGTAAGGCAAGAGCAAGCACCTCCCCGGGAGGCAGAGGGACGGCTGGCATCTGAGTGCGCTTAGGTGGTAACAGTTCACTATCAGATGATCAGGAAACACGAGGGCACCAGGGCCAAGAGGCGGACAGAGGCGCCATGGTGGTGCCTGTGCTGAGCGGCTCTCAGGTTCCTCCCGGCCAGCAGCAGACCCTCCTCTCCATGTGCTCCAGTCCCCTCACGCGGCTACAGAAGCATCTGTCGGTCTGTCTCCCACCTCAAGACAGAAGGGCCTTGCTGGCTGCTGTCCTGTCTGATGCCACACGGGGGCATGGACCCTGTGCCCACAGCCCTCTGCCACTGCCCTGAACGTCCAGGTGATGTGAAGCAGCCTCTGACACACAAGCGGCCGCCTCCAGCTGAGCTGGAGAAGGCCACAGGGAAGGCCACAGTTCCTGGCCTGGCCCACGCGAACAACCGTCACAGTGCCCACTGCGCATGCCCACCACGCAATCTCTGGGCTCCCCCGATGACCACACCAAGGCGCAGCCCGTGTCGGGAACCCGCCCTGGGCTACCTCACTGGCCAGACGCAGGCGCGGGATTTCCACTCGGGCTCTGCGGTGCCAGCACTCACTCACGCCGGGGCTTTGGCCGGTGCCCCGGGCGGGCCCGGCTGTGTGCCGAGGCAGGGTGAGCAGCCCGCTTTCTCTGGAGTTGATCTTAAACTCCTTCGCTCACAGCTCAGCCCTTGCCACGCCTACTCCACAGAAGAAGTATCACACAAGTAAGTGGAACAGCAGGCAGCATCTCGGCAGGGAGACCCAGGCGCGTGGCCTCTGCGGTGCAGGTGGTGGACGCCACGTGTGGCACCTGGGGTGTCCCCCGTCCCCAAAGGCCCAGGCAGAGTTGGCCAGTACTCACTCAGTGGGTGGGGCGGGGGCAGAGACCACAGCTGTACCCCCAGCTTTCCGCTTCTTGCGCTTGATGTCCCCGGGCTTCGTGAGGATGTTGCCGTTGGTCCTTTTTTGGGCTCCTTCCTGATGCTGGGTTCCACTGGCCTCTGTGGGAGGCACCGGCACCTTCCTGGCCCTCTTAGGCCCAGAGCGGGCAGATCCCCCCACAGCCCCCTGGAGTTTCTCTTGGGGTGGCTCATCTCTCTTCGACTGCTCTGAGGTCTCTTTTCTGTTCCGCTGGGCAGCTCGGGGCTGCTCTTTGGGATCCATCTGTGCGGCAGTAGGCTTTCCCAGGACCTGTGATTTTTGTTTCAGCAGCTAATTGAGTCCAAAATAAAATACAAGTCATGCTTTAATTTGGAAATGACACTAAACAGGTTGAAAGGACTTGCATGCATGCACACACACATACAGACGTGTGTCCACAACATTTACATGTACTTCCTATCGGCATCCTTGATACAATTCCCAACTGCTTTTTCTTACTGAAACACACAATTTTACACCTGCACCCGTGGTACGAACCCACGTGTCACCTCAGGGGCTGCTGAGTGGCTGAGCAATGCAGAGCGTGTCACCAGGGGCCCAAGGAACAGATGAGCAAACTGTGTCCAAGCGTTGGTTATTTTTGATGCTGGGAACTGAACTCTCGACCTCACGCTTGCAAGGCAGGCGCTGTGCCACTGAGCTATATCCCCAGCCCCGCAAGCATTGATTTTATTTATTTATTTATTTTTTAAAGAAACTTTTTAAAAATTATTTATTTATTTATTTTATTAC